TTGAGCAGTGTAGAGTAGTGCTTGTTGTTTGTCATTTCTCCGATCACAAATGCAGACAGTATAAGTCATTATAATCCGTAATTATGTCCCCACTGGATGCAACAAATGCCTCGTTTGTAATGGGTTTTATTGGTTTTGTCTGGTTGTGCCGGGAGACGGCATCACAGTATGTTAAGGGGCGTAACATTTCCGTCACATGCTTGAGGTATTCGGCCAATCACAACGCACTGGATAGGTGGTCAATCAGAGCACACCTCGCTTTTCAGACCGATAAGCTTTGTAAAAATCGACGCATTTCAGAAAGGCGGGGCATAGAGGAGAAACAATAATGTACAGTATGTGGAAAATAATGTTTTTTTAACCTTAAACCGCATAAACACATTTCATTACACCAAATACACAAAATAATGTTCTTTTTTAGCAGCATCATATGACCCCTTTAAACAAGGATTAGATTGCGCAGTAAAGTGTAAAAACAATCGTCAGGCTGCCCTCTGCAGGCATTTGTTATAATGCGTAATGTACATTAGCTCTATTGTTTATAATACATTATGTATTTTACCAGTTTTGTTCAATAAAACCATATGATTACTTGCTTTTGATTCCTTGCTTTATTTGAACTCATTATTATTGCCTCATTGCTATCATATAGGTATTTTAAGTCATTTTAAAGGCTATTATTCGCTGAGGTCTATTTTTATTGCCACAGAAAAATAATTATATTTATCCGATTACTCGATTAATCGTCAGAATAAACGACCGATTACTCGATTACCAAAATAATATGTGTGACGTAGTCCATTGTGTCTATTTTTTACGACACCACACATTTCTACAAAACTTTTAACTCTGTACATTACATGGGAAATTACAGCTCACCTTCTTCTTTTCTTTGACATCATATAAGGCCAAACTTGCAAATATTGGCTCAATTTCAATCTCAAACCTTAAAAGGGAGAAGAGAAGCTTATCAGAAACATTGTAGCCATAGATGTTACATTTCAGTCCACAAAAGCTGTTCCCCACTTACTTCAAGGACAAGCACTTGACAAGAAGCCTTTGACCAAAATGTTCTTTTGGAACATCAGGCACACAGTGGCGCTCAATGGGTTCTTCCTACATGAAAAAAAATAATAATAATGCAAGAAGTGTTTTGGTAATCCGTATATTTAAACACAATATTGGAAACATTGAAACAAAATGTCACACTCTACCTCATCCAAAGCAGGATGCAGTGCGAAGAGCTCTCGATGACGGTTTGACTTGCGCTGGTCCTCATTGTGGTGGTCGATTTCCTCGTTGGGTACTCGATCCAGAAGATGAGGCAGCAGAGCATCAGGCTGAGAGTTCTTCAGGTCAAATATACTGCAAGCCCAGCTGCCACGTGGAGTGTCATCTATTGACATGGACCTTCGCTTCAGATCATCCTGTGACATGCAAAAGTCAGTGTTTATATTCAGTGAATTCAAAAAGAAACTCACAGGGATATTGTGCAATTATTATATTGGGCTTAACAAAGTCTTTACATCACACGCAACTGTAGCAAAGACAGGTTTACCTGATCATCCTGATAGCTGCTGTGATCTGGCAACTCATCAGACTCAAAAACCTGCTTGGGTAAACCTCTCTGCCTCTCCTTCTGCTTATCCAAAGTGTTGGGATTGAATGCGGTGCCCAACTTGTGGTACCTGTGCATCCAAAATACTTTGTAAGCCTTTTTTAAATAAATAAGTAAACACATACATAAATAAATAAAAATTGACATGGAAAGCTTTTTTATGGTATAATTAGGAATTTAAAAAATAAAAATGTATGCCTAAATTAATTTACTAATAATCATTTTGTTATATATATTTTTTTTAATTAAGAGACTTGTTTAATCATAGTAAAAAAAAAAAATTTGGTTACGTATTAAATAACTAATAGCTAATTAAAATTAATCACTACTCAAATGTATATAAACAAGAAAACAAGATTAGGTGAAACTATCACATTTTTTATATTTTATCAGTAAAGCATTAAGCATTATTTTATGTAATGAGTATTTTACATACTAATGTTAAAATTCAGTTCAGCGGTGCTTTGTCAATGATGGATAAAATTACAGAAAATCAGTTTACATAATTATATAAAAGTTTGTAGGCTTAAACTAAACTTTCAACCTTAATGACCGTAATTACTTCACTTCCATTTACTTTTCTCACAATGACTGGGTAATAATCAGTATATGTTTGGATTACTATCCATGGTTACAATGACAACCATTATATGAAGAGTTTGGGCTTATCAATTAAGAATCACCAAGGAAACTGATTCACAGTAACTTATGAAGGCCCTATAAATATCTTGGAAGCTGCTTGAGTTTGTCTCCTGAGCAGAATTAAAAGCCCCAGTGAAAAGCACCATAAAAGCAGCATGTTGGAGAAAGACTGTAGGCAATATTCACTTGAATTCCTCTTTGTCATTTATGAGCAGGCCCACACAAAATTTGTGCCTGCAGAAATCTACAGATAGTGTTGCAGATACTGTCCTACAATCCTCAGGATTGAAATATCCGTTATCACAAAGAGGCACCAAGAACGTAACACTTTCAGCTCCACTTAACACATCTTCCATATTTAAAATCATGTATCAGAATCCCATGTATCAGGAAAAAAAGGCTGCATTAATTCTAAAGAGAGAACAGATTTAAGATGGAAATCTAGTGAAGCGTCATACTTGCGGTTAACAACGGCCCAGTCCTCGGTGTAAGACCGGACGCAGTCTCTGACATGTGGATCATTCTCACTGGAAAAAGTATTTAAGAGGAAGAACAAGTAAAATATTTTGAAGCAGTATGCCTGTGTAACAAAAGAATAAGTGAATGACAGCTGTTTATGTTCAAACACTATGTACAAATTCATTTATAAGCAAAAAAAACCCTTTTAGGCTTAAATGACTACTGAGATAATCACGGAATACATTTTAAAACTGTTCACTGACAATCTGATTCATTTTGTTCAATTACACCTCTGGTTTGCAGAGACATACTAATGTATGCCTCAATTCTTCGAAACAATCCACCCTGAACACGCTCACCCCTCCTCAGGCACAGCCTGGCCAAGAGTACGGCACTCTCTTGGTGTGTAAAGCACTTCAATGTCATCTGGAGGAAACTCAATCAGATCTCTCAGAGGTCCTGACTCTATAAGGGGAGGGTGTGTGATCAAATACTCTTCAAAATCCACTGGCTCTACAGCCTCTGTAAGAGGAATCTATAGGGAGAAATCCAAAGAGGAACAGAAAGAGAATGTGAGAACTGTTGCCGCTATCTCCCAAGAGAGACTGTATCACACTGAAGGGATAGTGGTAAATACCCTTTGAAATGTCAATCTCTCAAATTTTACACAGAAAAGTATATTCTCTTTCAAATGTAGTACTTACAGCATTGCTAGTTGCATTCCCACCCACACTGAGGTTTTTGAGAAGCTGAGGTGAGCCTCCGTACTGACCAGCAATCTGCTTCCTGACCTCAGCCGCTACAGTCCTGGAGAACAACAAGACAGCGCAGATGGCATTAGAATACAAAACAGATAAGTATCCCATGACTTGACTGTCATCTCTCTCTAAACAAGTCAGAGAACGAATGAAATACTCATTTACTATAAACACTACTGTTCAAACGTACTTTTACTCAACAAGGATGCATTAAATTGGTGTAAAGTGACAGTAAAGACATTATATCACATTACAAAAGACTTTTGTTTCAAATAAATGTTGTTCTTTTAAACTTTAGTCATCAAAGAATCCTGGGGGAAAAAATGCATCACAGTTTTCACAAAAGAAAATAATATTAAGCAGTACAAGTGTTTTCAACATTGATAATAAGAAAGAAATGTTTCTTGAGCACCATATCCGCATATTAGAATTAAGGATCATGTGACACTGAAGACTGAGTAATAACTGCTGCAAATTCAGCAAAATTACATTTAAAAATAGAAAACATAAACTGTAGCAATATTTTACTTTTTTGGTGTTTTTACTGTATTTTTGATCAAATATATGCAGCCTTTCAAAAACATTAAAAACAAAATCACACCATCCCCAAACTTTTGAATGGTATACAGAATGTTGTATGCAATGATAAAATTGATGTATACAACACTGTTGTATACATGACCTCACTACATTGCATCATGTTTAATTCTTAATTCAGTGCCACTGAATCATCATGTAGAAAAAAAAAATGGTTATTTTGCATTTTTTGTATGTAAAAATATTTATTAACATGAGCCAACAAGCCAACAAAGTCAAGAAAAAACTTGATTGTTGATATTTTTTCCACATTATTTGTCCCACTGAAAATAGCCTGATAGAACTGTACAGTACAGAAGTCCGCCATCCAAGTGTTCCAAGCATAATGTGTACAGTATACAAACTGCTTACTGCTAAAATGGTACAAGTAGTATTCTATTCCAAATATAGACAAAGTCTTATGATCTATTTCTTGGCCCAAGCTTTTGTAAATAACAACAATCTATGACACATCAAACTAATAACTGGCAGCATACTACTGGGCTCACAAAAATAACGCACTGAAAATGTGGCTATAATTTTCCATTCATTCAGCAGTTTTAGTTTATGGTATTGGAAACATTTTTTGTTTGAACTTTTAATCTAACTTAAGTTTAATCTAATACAAAATATAAATTAAGATGCACAAAACACACTTGTAATCTAGCAGGAATAGTCAAAAACAAAACAAAAAAAAGTCAACACAAAAACATACTAGCAAATCTTGTAATGAGACAAGCTCTGCAAGTTCACATCAAAATACACCTAAGCCCCTCCAATAGGTTAGGTTGACAAAGGTTCATTACTAGAGTAATAACATAAGATTGTAACTTATTATTATTCAGTTTTCACAGGCTGAATTACAGTCCTGTAAAGTACAAGCAGAAAAAAATACCATCAAGGTTTGAATGAAAGCAATGTGTCTGGTCTACAGTAAGAAGAACCAAATGTACAATATTATCAGTCTGCCTTTGTTGTAGCATATGTACAAGTCAATATCTCTAATCAGAATCCTCTTCTAATACATGTAGAATGACGTACACTGAAACAAAACCCCACCCCCAGTGCCCTTGCTGGTTCTGGAGGGACCTTTATTTAGGCTGGACATTCCTGAAGAGGGAACAGATGATTAGCCCACGCGGATGTGTTGTTTACCAAGGCACCGGCTAACACCATGACTTTCAGTGCATATTTCACACATCTCTGAAAACGTCTTGCACTTTAAGTAAACAGAGCCATGAGAAACAGCTTCTGTGACTTCCGAGAAAAGCTTTCAGATTTCATTTGAATATCTAATTAGCAAGTCATTCAGTAAAAAGAGGTGAACTTCAAGATTTTTAGTGCTTTCAGTTTTGCTTTGTGTAAAATAAAATTAGATAGGCATTGACTTTTGGGGGGCTTTTTGCATTCTATATTATGGGTAATACCTATACTTATGTATAAATCAAAACGCATAGCTATTTCCTTGTTCATATCAATAAAGGCATTTTTCTATTTGGTTAAATAACAAGTAACGATTGGAATCAAGGGTGCAGGTGCCACTAAGTCTATCCTGAACTGATCTAATCATCCCATTACACGGCACTGAAAAGACAACAGCATTTTCAAGCATCTGGGAAACGCCAAGACTATGGAAACCACCAGGGAGCCTAAAAGGTCACTTCCTTTTTTAAATCCATATGAGGTCTAATCTCTGACTTAACATCACAAAGGAAATCTAGACTGAAAAAAGAGATGTTTTTAAGCCAATGATGAGACTAAATTGTAGTCTATTATGATAACCCAGGGTCCCTGCTCCACAAATTGTGGGCCACTAGCCAAAATCTAAACAGATCTAAACATTAATCGCACAGTGTCATTACAAGGAAAAGTATCTGCTTGAAATTTAATCATGCATTGTATTTCAGGTCATTCTGGATCTCAGTCTGAAATGGTCTTAAAGGCTATAAATAGCTTAAATAGCTGCATGACTACAACAGCAATGCAACCCATCAATATCATGCAAGAACATCCGAACACTTGTCAGTTGATGGTGTTCTCGTAATACACCAGAAATTATTATGCATTATTATTATTCATGATCTCCGGGCTTAAAGTCATTGTTTACATTATTTAATTAAGAGTTTAAAAATCATCGTCTTGTAATCAAAGCTGTGGTGCACTATGCATATACTATATGACTGCATATTGACTATTATACTAGTGTAAGTTACCATATGATTGCATACTGACAGCAAAACATCTCATGATTCCGATGTGTCAGTATGTCAAGCCATCGTCTCACAAACACTAAACACTGCATTTCATTGAATCAGCCTAGTCTGCATCGTTAAATCCTTAGATGGATTTAACAAAATACGCATTTATGGATTATAAACCCAGGGATAAAGACTGATTTTAATGCACAGAAGCACAAAGGCATCATGCTGCTGTCTTGCAGCTTAGGGTGGGTCACTCGGGCATCTCTATGGATGCATCTCAAAACCTAGTAAGCTGCCTACCTAGACGGCACTCCAAACGCGCCTATTAGACCAACCGAGCAGTCTGGGTAGGCAGCTCCCCAAGGTTTTGAGACACCGCCTCTAAACTCAGCGTCTGCTCTAGCTAACTCAACGCCTAGGCCTTATTTGGGAAAGACTGGCACGCTCGCCAATTGGATCAGGCAGCAGACAAAGAATGGTCGCACGGCGCTGGGAGAATATATTTAAACGCAATAGCTTGGAAGTGCGTTAGATATCCTTACCTGCTGATTTTCTGGGCAAAGGCGCGGCGCTCAGCCATGACTGTAGCCGCTGAGTGCTCGAGTAACTCCAGCGCTCCAGCCGCGATATTCCTTCCCCACCCGTACCCGTATTTCGACAAGCCCCACCTCCTGACGCCTAAAATAAGTTTGTGATTGGACAGTTGAGAAGTCACTCATAAAGCCGTAGTAACCATAATAAACAGAGAGCTGGTCAGGGGCGGGACTTGTCGGAATACGGCTGGGAAAAAACGCGCTCCAGACGAACAAGAGAGGACAACGTACCGTAAAGCTGAAACAATAAACGCATACCATCTTTCAGTCTTTCGGGATCGTGGGTTGGAGTCTTCCTGGTGATTCATATCCTGTGCGTACAATAGAGGGCTCTTTTACAGGAAGCTATCTGTGTAGCGAAAAGTGTGAAATGCATCCGTTACCTCTTCCACTAATCGTGTAATCTGTAGACAATGACAGCTTTATTGGTGTATAAACATATCGTGGTTTGTAGTAGTGGGTGTTTAATTTCGACACTTCTAATTATGAATAATATAATGATGCTCCGTAAAAAGCTAAATGAAGTACAGAAAAGCTTAAATAATAGACAAATGTCCTTGCTTATTTCATTTGATAATTAAATAAGATTGTAATTAAGTCTAGTACTTATAAAGATATTTAAAAAGCATCAATCTTTCGAGAACTATTTTTGTGAACCGGTTCACAAAACCCTGAACGATGTCAAACTCATAAAAGACAAATAACAAACGTCTTACAAATAAAACACACTAAAAATATTCTTTCTTGCGACTTGAATTTATGACAGTTTTTTATTCTATACACATAGTTGCTCTTGATAAATATTTTATTATAACATAACAAAAACTTTCCAGTCGAGAGATAATTGATTTTAAAAAGAACTACACAAACCACAACCATCCTTTATTGTAAAACCTTTATTACCATCCTCTTTTTTGTTTTTTGTTTTTTACCAGTTCCTTGGAACGAATAGTTCTAAAGAACCAGACATCCTATCACTAGAATGAGCCAGACGGGAGAATATCTGAAATACCGCGAGACCGAACGAGAGGCCGCTTCCTCAAAATGTAAACAGACGTGAGTAAATGCACAGTGAGTTCTTAATTATAACAAGACATGTGAGCAGGTATGTTTTAAGATTGATAGAGTGCATCTGAAGATCGGTGGGAAGGCGGTTGGTGACAGCTGGATTGTGACTGGAGCGCTGATGGTAGGAAGTAGCGTAGAAAGGTATGTTTTAAATTATATATTTATATATTCAATTATTGAATTACTTATTTTCACAAAACATTCGCCACTTGTTTGCATTTACGCTTATTGTCGGCAGTTTTGTAAACTGTAAGTTACAAGCTTACTGATTAATTAGCATGCTAGTCAGCCAGTATCTTGAGATGTATGTATGTTAATGAATTCGTATTCTGGCCAGTGATTTGATGATTATTTCATATGCAACGGTATCGCATTCTTGTGCTTGTGGTGGAAATGTCATCTAAGTATTAGAGAAAGTAAAATCAATGACATGTTTCCAAATACGATGTACGTTAACTTGTTTTGGTCGTATTGAAAACTTCTCACAGAAACTCCATCGTATGTGCTGTGATGGGTTCTGCTCCGTGGCTGATAAAATGGAGACTAATGGGACCGACGAGGTGGAGAAACTGAAGTCCAAGTTAATGTCAGCATGGCACAATGTGAAATATAGTATGTAACGAGAGATCTTACACATCACTAAAATGTTAATTTTCCGTTCATCTGACAGTCTTTCACAAGTCACAAAATTATGACATACCTGTACACGTGACTAATCATGACAGTTTTTTTTTTAACCCTTCAAGGTTGGGTTCTTAAGTCAAAAACTGCCTTCAGCCGTAATTCTCCTGTTTTCTTGTTGGGGAAATGCTACCACTTCAAGGCTGTGGGTAAGATGATTTAGATGAACATTTAAACCAATTTGATAATCTGTCATCCTTCACAAAGTTTTTATTTGTGTATTTTTAATTCATATATAATATATCTGGCATTTTAAATTGTTTTTTCCCACCGATATTTCAGGTGTATCATGGAATGTTTATGCTAACTGTTGTCCTTAGATGATGAGAGCCCTACTGAGAGTTGTACTGCTGAGGCATTAGATGACGATGTTGTCACAGGTAATGTTGATGGATTTCGAAAGGACTTCACCTCACGAGTTTGGCTGACCTATCGGGAAGAGTTTCCTGGCCTTCCAGGCTCCACTCTCACTTCAGACTGTGGGCGGGGTTGTACACTCCGGGCAGGGCAGATGATATTGGCCCAGGCTCTCTTGCTCCACATCTTGGGTAGAGGTGAGATTATCTGTGTGTGTGTGTATGTGTATGTGTATGTGTATGTGTGTGTGTGTGTTGTGTGTGTGTGTGTGTTTGTATTTATATGTGACATTAAGAGTTTAAATTTATAGATTCTTATTTTTAAAGGTATTGTTCACCCACAAATGAAAATTTGCTGAAAATTTATTCACCCACAGGCCATCCAAAACATAGATGAGTTTGTTTCTTCATTAGAACAGATTTGGAGAAATGTATCATTACATCACTTGCTCACCAGTGAATCTTCTGCAGTGAATAGGTGCTGTCAGAAAGAGTCCAAACAGCTGATAAGAGCGTGATTCCAGTCCATCAGTTAACATCTTGTGAAGTGAAAAGCTGTGTGTTTGTAAGAAACAAATCCATCATTACAGCCTTTAGAGTCCTTAATAATGTTTCCTCCAGTGAAAAAGTCCATCCCCCGTTGTCCTCTCACAACAAAATCCACCAACATATATGTTTAGAACTGTTCGTTTGTAAACCATGCTTGATCTGTGCATATTTCTCTCCTAATTCAGACGAGACTACTTTTTCACTGGAGAAAGCAATATTATGGATAGCGGACTCAAATTTTGGCCGAAAGTTAAAAATGTCTTAATGATGAATTTATTATTGTTACAAACATGCAGCTTTTCGCTTTACAAAGTGTTAGATTGGATGCACTAGTGTCGGTTGGATTACTTCATTTTTCAAATTTTTATTTTTGGGTGAACAATTTGATTATTTTTTTTTTTAATAAAATGACAGTTTTCATATGAGCTGCAAAAACAGTTCTGAGTTGTGTGTTGCTTAAATGTAAGTAGCCAAAGTTTTTATCGCTTCATTTGCATAATGAAATTCTGTATTAATTTTTCATTTCAGAGGTTGGGTATTTCAGTGTTAGAGGTTGTCACTCTCTAATGAATGAGTTCTCATATGATTGACGGAGGGCAGTTTTGTGTAATATGGTGAACAGGCCACGACATTTGCCAGTTTAATAACTTCATTCAAAAAACAACATTGAAGCATCATCCAGAGCCCACGTCTATAATGAAATATGTCATTATAGAAATATCTGTCTATAAAGCGGCTAATGGCTAATAAAATATACTTATTAGCCAATTACAGGCCTTGACAAGTAGCAAGGTCATTGCCTAATGGCCCCACAGCCAGGTCCGGCACCTTTATGACCCTCAGCACTTGTACTTACACTATTTCAGACACCCACTCTGTTTGTGAGGATAAAATGTTATAAGAATGAAATATTGACTACGCTGAATATCATAATTGGACTTTTGTTCTTAAAGCACAAGCTCCACTGTCTATTTAAAATTTAAATATCTCTGTCACTCTTATTATAATTACACTACTGGTCAGAAATAGTTTTTTTTTTTTTTATACATCTTTTATGCTCACCAAGGCTCCATTTATTTGATGAAGAATACAGTAAAACAATAAAATGGAACATTATTAGAATTGAAAATTCTAAGTTTTCTGTTTTCATTTTAAAATGTAATTTATTCCTGTGATGGCAAAGCTGAATTTTCAGCAGCCATTTCTCCAGTCTTCAATGTCACATGATCCTTTTAAATACACTTTTTTTTTTATCTCTTTCACCAGACTGGACCTGGTCAGAAGCACTGACCTTGTAGCCCCTGGATACAGAGACATGGACCAGCAGTGCAGCACGAAGACTGGTGGCCACAGTAGAGGCCTCCATTCAGGGGGAAAGAGTTTTTTTTTTTTAATACATCTTTTATGCTCACCAAGGCTCCATTTATTTGATGAAGAATACAGTAAAACAATAAAATGGAACATTATTAGAATTGAAAATTCTAAGTTTTCTGTTTTCATTTTAAAATGTAATTTATTCCTGTGATGGCAAAGCTGAATTTTCAGCAGCCATTTCTCCAGTCTTCAATGTCACATGATCCTTTTAAATACACTTTTTTTTTTATCTCTTTCACCAGACTGGACCTGGTCAGAAGCACTGACCTTGTAGCCCCTGGATACAGAGACATGGACCAGCAGTGCAGCACGAAGACTGGTGGCCACAGTAGAGGCCTCCATTCAGGGGGAAAGAGCGCAGGTCACCCAGCAGCCTCTCTGTGCTGCTCAAGGAGGGGCTGAGGAGGCTGACTCGTACCTACAAGAGGCATATCACCGCACCATTGTGTCCTGGTTTGGGGACGGACCCTCAGCCCAGCTGGGCATCCACCGACTAGTGAAGCTAGGAATGACATCCGGAAAACGTGCAGGAGATTGGTACGGCCCAGCAGTGGTGGCACACATACTCCGGTAAGTACAGTTAGATTTAGTAACAGCTGAATTTGTCCCACTTGACAGAGAAAGGACCTGTTTTGACCTCTGTGTTATTGATTGTCTTCAGTGTACAGTGCTGATGTTACTGATAGCCATTCAGGGTGGACGGGCAGCCACTGTGATCCTCAGGGACTCAATTCTGAAGCTGCCTCTGATAGTAGAGCTGTCATCATACTCATTCCTGTGAGACTCGGTGGAGAGAAAATCAACCCAGAATACTTAAGCTTTGTCAAGGTGAGGCTTTGGAAACCACCCTTACAACTACAAAGTAGATTATACAATGACAAAGAGAGAAATATTTGTTAAAGATGTGGCTATCGACTTCAATACTGTGGTCTTATCGACTCTCTTTCTCTTTTCCCTAGAGCATATTAAGCTTAGAGTACTGTATCGGCATCATTGGCGGAAAGCCTAAAC